CGAAGAAAAGTTGGGTTTCGAGCAATCTATATTTTCACCATTGTCGAGATCACTTTCATTTCGAATTAAAGTGTTTGGTGAAGAGACTCTGAGGTCGATCTCACAAAAAGACGAAGGCGGATTCCTCCTGACCGGCTGTCGATTGATTATATAGGCACATCCTTGTTGATGCTGTTTCCAAGGCAATCTGCTTCGATTCTGGTGAAAACGTGCTAAGACTTCGTCCGTCAGGGGGAATAATGTCTCGATTAAAACTGATACGGTGGCTGACTTCGGTCAACCGTTGAGGCAAGAAAATGCCAAAGGGTCTATTAAGCATAAATCATGAAGTCTAGTGGCCGAATCTTTCACGAACTGTTGGAATACATTTTTCATAATCAGTTTTCACCAAGTATCTCCCATGAAATGCCTCCTTGTAGATGTATATATGAAACATCTCTAATTAAGCTTGAAAACATATGGATAGTGCTAAGCTGAAACGAATAACTATGGGGACTTGACGATAAATAAGTCTGGCGCATCACGGAAATAAACGACAAGTATCCCATTTACAAACATTTCTGTCCAAAAACAGTGGGCGCAGACGACCTGTTACTGACCTGCATGTGCAGAAGATGTTCATGTTAGGATTGTATAACGTAAACTGGAGGAAAACAGCTCTGGTGGCTCGATCAAGCCATAGGTTTTCGAAGAGATCTTTGATGATTTGTGTGGTCTTTTCTAGGTTTCTCGACAGGTCGACATAGGCACCAGCACCAGAGTAATAGCCCTGATCACCCCAGTAGGTATCTGAATCAAGAAAGCTGCTATTCCAGTATGTCCATCTGCCAGAATAATAAGAAAGAAAAATAAAGAAAAATGAGCATCTTATGCAACAAACATTGTAGGCAGCATCGTGACGATTAGCTAAACGTAGAAACCTATTGTGTTTTCTAGTGAATTTTCAGTTTTATGTCATATTTACCTATTCGATACATTTTTCTAAAGATTTGCTGACATTAGCGACAACTCGTTAGGTAGAGGAGGCAGATTGCCATGTCCTGCTTGGGTCAAGAAATTAGCTACAAAAAAGTTATTTTGATTTTTCTCTTTTTAATGTAGACTATATTTTGTATGTAAGTAGATTTTCGAGACTACCAGTAAATGGTGACTAGATTGACTTCATAAAAGTGTGAAATATTAATGACATTATCATTCGAAGCGTAGAAGCAAGGAACAATATTCCCGTTTGAAAACAAATAATTTCTATATGAGGGATATTGAGCTTATTTTGTTTAAGGAGATAAGGAGATTGGTAGTTGAATTTTTCCATAATCATATGAGTAGAACTCA